GATTTGTAAACAATTACATAAGCACCCTTGCCATAACTATCACTTCTAAAAATAATTCACTTTTTAATGCTCATACAATATAAACAAAATAATACTCTCCTATTACACTTAAAATGAACAGTCACGTATATCTAACAATAGGAGAGTCCAGCCCAACAGACCAGACCAGACAGGAAGATGAAGAAACATCATCCCATGACAAAAAAAAAAAAAGATATGTGAGGTTGAATCAAGAGTGAAAGGATATTGGATATAGAAAGAGGGGGGCACTGGATATCAAGCAAAGAAGCTGAGAAAACCAAGGCTGAGTCAGCCAAAGAGGTGCCACAGTAGGATTGAAGCAGGAGTGTTGCATATCAAGATGACGATCTGAGAAGGAGTCAAAGAGGATAGGCATATAGAAACAGGTGAGATCAGTCTTGGCTGAGAACTTCGATAACCAGAGCCAAAGGATGAGGAACTAGGGATTAGAAGAGAGAAAACTTGGAGTCAAGATGAGTGGCAAACAAATCTATGAGAAGCTTGCACAACTGAGAGCAAACCCAATGAAAGACCAGAGGGTGGAAAAAACCATTGTATGGGTAGAACATGATCTGACTGAGAGAGGTAGTCTACCACAAGCTTTATAGCTCTGAGCATATAACAAGAAACAAGACGAACCTGATGTTTGGAGATTGGTAAGGAAACACCAGAAGTAGTATTGGCATGGTCCAGCCACCATGATAATTCCTCAAGGAAAGGTTCACAATTAAGGATAATTTAACCCAAGAAATAATTCATTGGATCTACAAGTTCCACTGGAAGAGGTGCATGTGTGCACTCCCCAAATGAATAAGGGGTTCCAGGTAAGCCAAAGTCCCCAAAGTGAAAAAACCCCTCACACAGGATAAGGATCAAAATTCCTGGTAACTAAATATTCTATAGCTCACTGGTAAAGAGAACATTGAACATGGCTAAGACAAGAGATGAAGAAAATGCCTAGATGTACCAAATACTGATTGGACACAAAAAAGAACACAGACAGCTTCACAAGCTACCCCAACCAAGTAGCCTCCTGCAAAAGAAGAAAGTGTGAGAATTGGATACCTACCGAGAATGGACAAATTAAAGCTAATGATCCAGATCCAAGAAAAGGAATGAGAGCCCCAGGCTGTGAAGGTGGTGATCAAAGGTCATCATGATACAAATGAATACAAATGGGACCGACACTATGTCAAAGGAAAAAGCAAGGAATTTGAAGACGTGTATCTGATGGACAGAACATAGAATACATCTGGAGGATGGAGCAATAAGGAAGTATAGGAAGATGTCCAACACATTAACGTCAGACAGGGTAAAAAAAAGACTACATATACTGTCAGAGGAAGGAAAAAAGAAAATGGGAAGAGGAGCAAAGACAAGAGAAATGGAGAGAGCCACCATCGGAGACAAAATGAAAACCATCTGTTGGCAGAAACTGAGACCAACTGTTTGCAAAGAGAAAGACACAGATACCCACAGGGCCTGATGTGGCAGGATAACCACTGACGAGAGGAGCAATGAACCAGACATTGGTCAGTGAGAGAGAATGAGGAAAAAAAAAGGAAGATCTAGAATCTGGAATGGGTAGGGTAGGAGAAGACTGTTTCAGACAAGGAACAGGTGTCAAAGGGCAAGGTTGAGAAAGAAGAAAACTTATGAAGTTAATGAGGACTGAAGTCCTGCAACTTTATTCCAAGTCTCCAGTGAGAAATGAACACCACCACAGAGAACCAGAGAGTGAAATAAAAGGCTATGAACCTGACCTCCAAGCAGGCCAAATAGATGTAAAAGACAAAGAATCTAGAAAAGAAATTGAAAATGTCAAGAAGTCAGTATAAAATAGTCACATATACAAGGGGGAATGAGGCATGTGGGTGTGTGTGACGAGCTGCCAAAGAAAAGAAAAAAGCATAAAATCCAATAACAAACAAGGATGAGAAACAAAGCAATCCCAAGAATTTGGTTCATAGAGTGAAGAAAACATGAAATATTTAAAGACAGAGGCAAAAAATAAGAAAAGAAAAATACCTGAGAACATCCAGAAGGAGACTGAAAGGTTAAGGTCATACTTGAATGGTAAGGCAGTACCAAAGAAAATCAGATTAAATTCTTAGTCCAATAAAGCATTCATGAATGAGAACAAAAAAACAAAAAACATCAGCCAAAGGAACAGAAGAAAAGTGCCTAGTAAGCATGTAATAATCCACAACACATTGAACAAAGGTTGCAATGTTCCCAACTTAATGAGCCTCCAGAAGCCATAGCAGAAATAAGATCTGTGTGTAACATCAAAATGCCCACAGGACTAAGTAAAAGTCACCATCATTTGAGAACTAAAGATAATAATCAATGCTTTTGAAAGAAAAATCAATGTAAAATGAAAAAAAAAATTTTTTAATACAAATCTCATCAAATTGAACTTGACAAGAAATTTGAATACTTCAGGTCAATGTAATGCCAAGGAAAATAATAAGGTTATCGCAACAATTGCAAGTGCACAGGGGGAGTTAGTGTGCATGGAGGTTGTGTTACCATCCTACTGGTGGGAGCTATTGTCACTTCATGCACTAGTGCAGTTAAATATGTGAATTTAGGAGTGAGATAGCTCAAGGCAAGTAGCATGGAAATATCATAGGCAGATTCGCAAGGGCAATAGCATTTCTATATGCAGAAGCGAAATTAACATCTTGGAAAATATCTTTTTCACTATAATTATAACTTCTAACTAATAAAAAATTGATTCCATAACAAGTTTATGTTATAAGCGCTGTGGACACATTGTTAAGTGTCTGAAAAAAGCCAAGACACAAACATTTACGATGGTAATGTTTAGTTGGCATTCATATTGCTGTATTAGGCTAGAAATAACCAGTTACTAGTTGAAGTCTTAACTGGACTGCTATGGACTAGTTGTGTTGATCACAGAAAATTTTAATAAAGCTTTTATGGTAATTAATAGTCCAATCAAATAAAAACATGTCTAATACTTCTTTTTAATATTATATGGTAGTGTAAGGATGTCTGGCTGTTTCTATTAATTTCTGAAAAAATGGAAGGATGAAGCCTCCTAGATCTGCACCTACTAATACAATATTAAATAATTTTTTTTATAAATTCTGAAAAACATGGGTGAAAAAGAAATCTTTAACATATACGTACATACAGGTGAAGTAAAATGGACTCAAAACCCCAATATAGTACTAAAAAAAACAGGGTTCTTAAAAAAAGATTTTTTCAATAAAGGGTACCATTTCTAACATATAAAAACATTACGGTTTATATCAGCACAATCTGAACAATTTTTCCATGTAAACTCCTTTTCTTAGAAAATGTTCACTTTTTTTCTAAAGCTTTTTCAATGAGATATGAATATTACAATTAGTAATTACTAGCACAAACAGCCACTTAAAAATACACCCAGATCTAATTGTGAAACAAATATTCAAGTAGACTTCCTTAGTACTCAAATTATCCTACTTGCTTTAGTTGTTCAAAATGATTAGGGGTTTGGGCAATCTGTGGGTGATCAGTTGGAGTGATGGAAGGAATAGATGAAAATATAAACTTGAATATTAAAGAAATAGGTAATCTCAATAAGATATATGGAATTTGCTAAAACCATGTTGCAATGTTAATATTCAAATATTAGTTAAAATATAAAGTACATTGGTGGAAATTTTTAGAAGTACTTACTTCTAATAAATAGTATCAGCCCATAATAGGAAAAATGTAGTCAACTACCAAATATGCAGAGCAAATAAGCCATAAGATCCTATATTATTAGATGAAAAATTATGGCTTTTGAATTTTAAAAATCTTTACTATCAACTTGTACATGCAGTGGCAAATAATGATAATTTATAATGTAGAATTAAAGGGAAACTAGACTGCATTTCAGATAATTATGTACTTTTGTACTAGACATTTTTGGTATTTATCTTTCTTACCTTTAATTTCATTCCAACAGAATTAATAACTTATCATCAAGTAACATGAATTTTTAAGTGCTTTGGTTATTTAATTCTAAAATAATTTATAAGAACCACCCGAGAACCTTTATCTTTAGTAACCATAATTTCTTTTTGCAATCATCATGTTCTTGTACAATAGCCAACTGACTGGTTTTCACAGCATTTTTGGCTAACAATAATACAAGTCCAATTTGTGTACATCAGCATTATTTATGAATATCATATCTATTTTTCCATCACCTGTTATTGAATGTGCCTTTACGTTTATTACATGATAATTCTATTAAAGATGAAGTGTATTATTATATTTTTATTTTACTTCAGTTCACAACTATTAACAGAAATATACACTATGATTCAAGAACTGTCCCTTACACTTACAGTTACAGCTTTAATGGACCTTGCAATTTGCAACTGTTTAACTTAAAAGTTAAATAAGCATTTTGAAATAGTACTAATTGTAATGACTAAAGTATGTGGTAAATCTAAGATAATCATAAATACTGACTTCAATTTTAAATTTTTCAAAACTTACATTTATAAGAAATTTAATTCAATGAGAAGGCTTATGCCTTATTTTAACACAACATAACATTAACATGCCTTCGCTCCAGTTCCTGAAAATAAGCTATCAACTAGTACTATAGTTGACTTACCATCTCTTCTACTAGTTCTAGTACTACTACCAATATAACTAAGTTAAGTAACCCTAGGGCCTAGACTATATTATATAGCATAGGCTGCACCGTCTGACAGTGACTTGTCTAAAGCCTGAGTTGTAACTAACTAGTTGTAGTTAGTTGTAACTGTAAGGGAATAAAAAGTAGGCTTTGCACAGTAAAATATAAAATTCCCTAAAAGTAACAATAAGAAATACCAGGTTTAGTTATCTTACCATTTTGGGTGAAATCTACAGCTTCAGGTTATATATTAAAATCAAAGATCTCAACAAATACACCTCTTTCCTATGTACTCCTAATACGTACGTACGCAACGTAGACTACGGTACATCACATGACACGAGATATTGAACATTGTTACTGTGATTAGGAGCCTCGCTTTTCTTTTTATTTATTTATTTGTACTTCATATATAAAACTTTTATTTATTTCACTGTTTTAAAAAATGATTGTGAAGAAGTTTTCATAAGAAAATGCATTGTTTTTATATAATGTTATTTATGTTACAAATAATTTGGAGGTTGACTCTACTGGAATTAGTACCTTCTCTTTATGTACTATATATAACAACTTTTCTTTGTTTCAATGTCGAGATGTCGAGTTTTATGCATATAATAATTAACGCTTTGTTAGAATGAGAAAGAATTGTATTTATCATAAAGACATATTCTGGTGAAAAGTATTTTGTCCATAAACATAGAAATGCAATTTATTACTCATTATATTTTGACTATATTACTGGAGTTTAATGTCAATAAAGAATATTTTTATTTCTAATTTCAGCGACTTTATTTAGATATCAAATTAAAAAGCAATATGTTTTAAATATATATATATATTTTTTTGTAATGACCAGTAAATCGTGTCATAAATCACCCCATTGATCTACCATCTCCAAAATGCTTTCAGGCCCTTTGACGTAATAATTTGGAGACTCGTCCAGGGAAAATTGTAATAAGTAACATAATAAATTGGGGCTCATGACCAAGATATGAATCAGAGACAAAATACGATCTAATTCAAATCATAATTCAATTTATTTTATCAATTCCAACAAGATTTGATCATGTCTGATTATTAAGATTTTCTTGAATCACCCTCCCCCGAACAACTAGATAGATATAACAAAAATTAATTGTTAGAAGTTAAAAAATCAATGAGAAAAATGAGATAAAAAAGCGAATTATTGAAATAGTAGTTGATGATGATTTGTTACATAAGAAAGTATTAGAGGAATATTCCAGTGTCCTTACTAGCAAGTCGGCATTGAGTGATAAAGATAAGCTATTAGATATTCAGCTAAAACTCAAACAAATCGAGCTTGCACAAGCTCGTATCGAAGCCGAGAAAGAACAAGCTCGTATCAAAGCCGAAAAAGAAAAAGAACAAGCTTGTAGCGAAGTTGAAAAGAAAATAAACGTCTCGAGGCCGAGAAATCTCGCATTGAAGCCGAAAAAGAAATTAAGCTGAAAGAAATGGAAATTAAACTCAACTCTGATCGACCAAGGCAAAATAACAATTTTGAACTTAATTGATATATTAACGTACCACCATTCAATGAAAATGAAGTTGATAAATATATCCAACATTTTGAAAAGGTTTCCCAAACCATGGAATGGCCCACCGAAAAATGGTCACTATTACCACAAAGTGTTTTAACTGGTAAAGCACAGGAAGCTTATGCCACTCTCTCTCTCTGGAATATTGTACGAATTATGATAAGGTTAAAGAAATTATTTCAAAGCATACGAGTTAGTACTGGAGGCTTATCGCCAAACGTTTTGAGGTTATCACGAGCAAGATAATCAAACTTATATGGAATTTGCTCACAATAAAAAATATTTTTTGATCGATAGTGTAATTCTATGCATATTGGCAACAGTTTCGACAAACCAATTATGTGTAATGGAGGTATTTAAACATTGTGCACCTGATAACCTCAAACTTACTTGGATGAAAAAAAGTTGAAATACTACTGGAAGCAGCTGCTATTTACGATGATTACACTTTAGCACATAAAACCACTTTTTATAAAAAGATATTTCAGCCATCTTAGCAAAAACCTGTATCTGTTCAATCCACTAAAGTTCAGGATCCTTCTAAAAATTCAGCTCCTCTATTTCGAAATCTTCTGACAACCAGGATAAAACTTCATCAAAACCATAAAGGCATGTCTGCTATTTTTGTAAAAAAACTTGGTCATGTTGATGTTGGCCCAGCATGGCCAGGTGGCTAGAGCGCTCGACTCGCAATCTGATGGCCGCGGGTTCGAATCCCCGTCACACTAAACATGCTCGCCCTTTCAACCGTGAGGGCGTTATAATGTGACGGCCAATCCCACTAGTCGTTGGTAAAAGAGTAGCCCAAGGGTTGGCGGAGGGTGGTGCTTTCCCTCTAGTCTTACACTGCTAAATTAGAGACGGCTAGTGCAGATAGCCCTCGTGTTGCTTTGCGCGAAATTAAAAAAACAAACAAACATGTTGATATTTGAAAAAGAAAAAGAAAAGGGGCAACAACTAGTGAGTTTGTGTCCACATGTGGACGTAGTCTCACTAGATCATCCAATGCTGTTGATTCGGCCACTGATATAAAGGCTGGTGTAGTCAGGGAGGAATTTAGACCCTTTGTGGCTGTTGATTCTGTGTCTTTGACAAGTGATGCTGCCAATCCCTTACCCATTTGTATTCTACTTGATACTGGCCCAGGTGACTCAATCATTGTTGTTAGAAGGTATATTGCTTTTGGATTCGAGTTCTGCCATTGGCGAGTCTGTTATTTTTCAGGGTATTGAGGGTGGCTTTGTTAATGTTCCTCTTCATAATATTTATTTGGCATCAGATCTAGTTTCGGGGCCAGTTTTGGTTGGACTAAGACCTACTCTACCAATTAAGGGTGTATCATTGTTGTTGGGAAACGATTTACCTGGAAGAAAAGTTGTTGCTGAACCCAAAATGGATAGCGAGGCGATCACTGTTTCATCTAAGGATGATGTTGTCATTGAGGAGAATTCCGATGTGTTTCTCTCGTGTGCTGTGACTCGAGCTCAGGCTAAGAAATTAAGTCGAATATAAATGATAGACACGAATTCAGAGGATGATATTTTGACTCGTTTCAGACATCTTTTGGATCCGACGGGGATTTTGTGGATGATTGTCTTATTGACGATTCCTTGGTGAGTAACAATGATGGACGTAAGGGATCTGGTTCATCTGGTAAAGTTCCATTTGCTAAAAGTAAACTGATCGCTGAGCAA